CTACCGGTGGCCCGGATCCGTTTGCTGGAAGGAGAGACGGACGGAGGGATCCCGGGCGGCGAACCTGGCCTCGGGACCTCCGGCCAGCGTGCAGGGCTTGGCATTTCCCGGGTGGCCCCGGGGGGGGGGAGACCCAGCTGTTTGGGGCGGGGGAGGCTTCCTTCCGAGTCAACCTCCCTCGGCTGCTCGTGTTCCTCTTCCGCAGAAAGCAGCGAGGGCAGCGGGCAGAAGCCAGCCGGGGCTCCGTTTTCTCCAAGCCCTCCGGGTCTACCTCTCCGGGGTGTTGTGAGGACCAGGGCCGGGGAGAGGGGCAGAGCCCCTGTCCTTTTCTCCTTGGAGGTCAGAAGGCAGGCGGTGGGGCGCGGAGGGGCGGGGGGGCACCTCTTCTGAAACACACGTTTTGTTTCAGCTCCAGAGTCCAATTTATTTTTTTGATGTGCATTGTTTTTATGACGACATAAAAGAAATGCTGAGATCTCCGTGTGTTTGGGAAGCAAAAGGGAAATCAGCACAAAGGAATGAATGGCAGGAAACCAGACAGGGAGAAAACAGACACACACACACCCCGCCGCCGCCGCACAGAGCCTGGCAGCGGCTTGTAGGCTCATCACCGGGCGGGCATCTGTCTGCAGAGCCAGGACTCATGCTCGAAAGATGTGAGGCAAGGCTCAGACATGCCACTGAGCATACACAAAGTGCCTTTTGCCCCTGAGTAGCTACAGAGCATCCCTGACTGACACAGAGTATTTCCACGTCAAGGAACATGACTTCCCACCGAGGAGGGGATGGTGAGACCCAGAGGCCACCGGCCGCCTGCATCCATCATCAGAGGCGCGGCCTTCCTTTCTCGGATAAAGGCGGTCCCGAGATGGACCGTCCAAGACGCGCCGCCGCTTTGGAAAAGGCGAACAGGGAGGGCGACCCAGCCAGAGCGGCCTTTTCTTGGCGCCTTCACGGGCGGCCACCAGGCAGGCGGAGGCTGCTGGCAGACCAGGGATTCGTGTCTTGGCACCCAAGAAGCCCTGGGGGGAGGCGGGAGGGAGGGAGGGGGAGGGAAGGAGCTTCTTCTAGGCCACCCGCCTTTCCAGGCATTCATCCCTTCCAGGGTGCCAGCTGGCACCCCCTCACCCACCCACACACACACACACACACCCCTCAAGGCTTGGCTCCAGGCTGGCAAAAGAGGAGTTACTCACTCAAGGAGATTAAACTCCTCTCGGGCGCGCAGCGCATCGTGTAAAGGGAGGGATTCTGAGTCAGCCAAAGTGGGTCAAGCCGCAGGAATAAGATCCTCGGCTTTTTAAAAAAAGACAAAAGGCAAACCCAGCGGTGGCTCCGGGCGGCTCCGCTGCGCTCCCTGCCAGCTGCTGGTGCCCACCCGGGGGGTGGGGGTGGGTCTCTTTCCTTCCACGTGGAGTAGCTTGTCAAGGGGGAGGAGATGAGCCTGCGCCCCCCCCCGCCCTCCTGGCTACCCCCTGCATCACTTCTGGAGGCTCCCAGTGGTTTCAGCACCTTGTCTTTAATAATACAGGACTTTCCAGCATGAGGGGGATGGGGGGGGCACAAGTGGGGGGGTCCTCCTTCTAAAGCCAGCGTGGGCAAGGGGAGGCACCCCAGAGGTGTGTGTGTGGGGGGGTGACAACCAGCCAAGCCAAGGGCCTGCCCTGGAGCCCAGGGACGTCTGAAGGGCGGCGCCGCTGCCCGCACCGTTTCCCAACCGTTTGCTTTTCGCTCGTTTTGACCACGTGATGGAGTGAGTGCCCGTCGCTTGTCCCAGCTCCCGCCAACCTAGCTGTTTGAAAGCATGCAAATGCAAGTAGATAAA